AATTAATGGTACTAGATGATCACATCAATTACAATTAATTTAAAAATTAATAAATCAAATATTTTTGCTGATAAAAATTTTAATACTTTTTGTAAATAATAACATTTTATTATAATTTAATAACATAATTATTCAACATAGTAATTAAACAAATTTAGGTAATTCTCTCTTAAATTCAATTATTAGTATAAAAATTTATGAAATTCGAGTTAAACATTTATCCATACTACAAAAAATGCACACATTTATATAACTAAAAATATGTATAATTATTCAAATATAACTATCACAAAAAGTAGGATTGCCAAAAATGATCATAATGATATCCGTACGGGTCGTTAAGTGGGGGTCGATTTTGATCGGGGTTTAAGTCTTTCACTTTGGGTACATTCGGATCACTCAATAGTTGCGGCCATTTATCGTCAGGTTTGCTATAAAAATAAGTTTAATACAACACAAATAAAATTGTTACTTAAATTATCACATTTAAAAAATACAAATAAAATAATTTAATAAAATAAATTATACCCGTATTTCGCGAAGTTAGTCCACATTCGCATCACATCTCTACTAAACTGGCGATCGGTTTCATCGAAAGCGGCGGCCATTTGGCCACCAAAAGGCATACCGAAGACAAAGGGTATGTCCATCGCGTGGCCAATACCCGACTCTTCGGTATCGCACTGAAGAATCTGCGCGAAGAACTGGTTTTGATGCGTGAGTTCATAGAAGTATACCGTATGCCGATCGCCGGCACCGGTGGCCAGTTGTCGAGCGAACAGATATGTCGGGTATTTCATGAATAAATCGCCAAAATATTCATAAAAAGCCCGCTTTAGCGCCGGTGTACTACTCGTGTCCACACCTTTCAAGTAGTGGTCGACCACTTTCTGGGCGTCTATGCCGTGAAACATGACGTCCGACGCCTTAACCGCCGCCACAAAGTCATCGGTAGTGAACACCTCTTTGTCCGGCGCTATGAATAGCTTGGATAGTGACGAGCCCTCAGTGCTGGTGATGCCCGCCATTAGATCGATGTCTGCGTAATTATATTATTTATTAATTTTAATTATTAATTTTGTAATAATTATTAATTAAAATTATAAAACTTGATTAAAACCGTTATTATATTGATTGTCGTGAAGTGCTTTGTGGGCAGAAAGTGGTAAAAACTCTGTGCCCAACACCGGGTACGTCAAGGGGTTTGCTTTTTCCACCAAATCCTTGGCCTCGACTGTCCGTAAGTACTGAACCCAATCGGCGCCTTCACTACAACCCAACTCTTTGGCCACTCGTTTGCCTTCGGCTATGGCCTCGGCTTTGCTGTTCACATCCCTGTCCTTATTGTACATATGGGCGCCCGACTGCATAATAGCCCTCTTGAATAGGCCTTTGGATAGCGGGGAGAGTATGTGCGCCGATACGGACCAACTGCCGGCGCTCTCACCAAAAATGGTGATCTGATCCCTATCTCCGCCAAACTTATGAATGTTTTCTCTGACCTATTATTTTATAATTTTAAAAAATGCTTCATTTTTAATTATATTACTTAAAAATAACACTTAATTTAATACCCATTTAAGAGCCAATAACTGATCATAAAAGCCCACATTTCCGGGCGCGTCCTCCCGATCGCCGTATAGAAAGCCAAAGTGATTGACCCTATAGTTCGGGGCCACAAACACCACCCCGTGTGAGGCCAATGGCCCGCCGTTGTACATATCGATAGTACCGATACTAAGTCCGCCCCCATATAACCAAAACATTACCGGTTTGAGCGGTGTTTTGGACGTGTTATCTGTGGGTAGAGTTGGGGTCCATATGTTTAGCACAAGACAGTCCTCGCTCTGAGTAATGGGAATGAGTGTAACTGACATTTCTTTTTGATAAGGTGAATTTCCCACTTTTGTTGCATCAATAATAGCCTGGTTGTTTTTGTTTATGATAAAGATATATGTTATTTTTGTTTGTGTTATGGTAAAATATATCATTTATAATAAGTTCTTATAATTAATAATAAAAATAATTTTTTAATTATTTAGTATAAAATTAATTACAATAATATCAATGTAATAGTTGAGTTAATTAGCATTAAATTTAGTCAATGACTTACATCTCGGGCTTTTTTGATAGGTTCAGGTTTTGCGAACCGTAGAGCACCAACTGGTGGCTCAGCATAAGGTATGGCCAGAAACTGGTAGAGCTCTGTGTCGAGCGCCGACACCGTCTGACCTCTCACTGTTCCCGATGTGGTCTTAACGTCAATATTTGTGTCAACACTTGTTGTCATTGTATAGATTTTTAATTTATAAAACCAGATGCTAATTAATATTAGTAAATATTGTAATATTATTAAAATTGTTGCATATAGTAAAATAATATGTTTGTCACGATGGTCAACTAATTATTAAATAATTTTATTAAAATATTTTAAACACAACTTTAGTTAATGACTGATGCTATTTGAGTACATAAAGTGCAAGACAGTTTAGCTATTTTATATATAAACATTACAACCCCAATGTACTTATTAAATAAAATTATTCTATATAATCAAAAATGACCTTCGCAACATTGTACACGTATTATCAAATAATCTACTTTATAACTTTACCTTTATTTAAAAATCATAATAAAATTATCAATTCTTAATATCTTAGGATTTATATTTAATGCATGCGAGTTTTATGATAAACATGTAATTAATTGTTATAACAGTTAAAATATAACTAATGTACTAATTAACAAAATTAACCTTTATGCAGAAGTTCAATTATTTTATTTTATCAACACTTGTACTAAAAATACTTGTTTAATAAATTTATATTCAATCAATTTTTAACTAACTTTAGTATAAATACTACAAAACTATTTAATTTATTTATATAAAATAATTGTAAATGATGACTAATTTAGTATTAAATAATTAATTATTCTCAAATAATTAACTGATAATGTTTGACAATAAAAATATTTCAAATTTAAATAAATACAATAAAACTATGTCAATTACTATCGGTTTCCATAGTGGTCAAAATCCAGTCTATAAGTCGGGACACATCAACCGCCCTTGATTGGTTTTTATACTCGCAATCGGTTTTATTTGGGAAACCACCTACCATTACGCCCACAGACACAGCCCTGGGTATATGTTTAGTACCCTGGTACTCGATCAGACCGCCACCGGAATCACCCTAATATATAAATAACTATAACAGTGTATATTTAGTGCGAGTCTACTNGCCCTTGATTGGTTTTTATACTCGCAATCGGTTTTATTTGGGAAACCACCTACCATTACGCCCACAGACACAGCCCTGGGTATATGTTTAGTACCCTGGTACTCGATCAGACCGCCACCGGAATCACCCTAATATAAATAACTATAACAGTGTATATTTAGTGCGAGTCTACTATACATACTCCACATGACTTTGGGTCAGCGGCGGTGAAATTCATGCACAACTGATGTTGCCTACAATACACGCCCGTCCACTCGGCCTTCATCATACACCGGGGCTCTACCCGTCCGCCCGCCTGTCGAACCAAACCAAACCCATAGAGAGTGAACCGTCCGCTAAACTC